GTAAATATAATTTGTGATTGTTCTAGCTCTTTTTACGACATTAGCAATATTCTCTCTCTTCCCCATTGCCTTAAACATGAGATCAATACAATGTGCTGCACATGATGTCCAAAACACATTATGATACTTCATTAACTTTTTTCCAGCTTTGACAAATGCAGAACCATTGTCGGTCACGACTTGGACAACATTATGCTCTCCCACCTCCATGATTACATCCCTCAATAATTTGTAAATATACTTGTAGTTCTTTATATGGTTTGAAGCATCAATGGACTTAAAAAAAATTGTCTTTCCCTTGGAGTATACCATGAAGTTTATGATAGACAATCTAGTCGGGCCAGCCCATCCATCACACATGATTGTGCAACCATTAGTTTCCCACTTTGACCTCAACTTGTTAACATACTCGCCAATGTCTTTATACTCCATTTCCAAATATTTGTTTCTTACCTCATAGGGAGTGGGAGGTTGTACTCCAACACCGGCCTGTTGACATCCCAATACCATATTTTTTAAATGATGTGATGACGCATTCTCAGCAGAGACATTTTCATAGATAAAGAACTTGCTAATTAGACGCCCCATTCCCTCTTTCACATTACCTCCAGTGAAATAACGCCAAACACTCTTTTAATGTGCTTTGGATGACTTACATAAACTTGGGGCCATTTATGGTGTTGGTTGTGATTCTCTAACACTTGCTCCTCGTCTCATTTGTGCATCACCACTTGTCCCGGAACCTTGTGCTCTATTAGGAATTTTATAAAGGTGTTCTCTTTCCCATGCTGACTGTTTGGAGGCACGTAATGCTTGTTTGAAATTGCATCGTTCTTCAGGTCCCATGTCATCATCACATTCGTCCTCATCGTCATCATCATCACTGTCAACCGCTTGGCCAATGAATTCTCCTCGTAGCCTAGCTCGAATATTTTCCATTCCATGTGTTTTCTTTTCCTTCTGGTGTTTTTTATTTTTTAATAATATGGTGATGAATGCCTTCACTTCTGGGGGGGGGGGGACATTATTATTGCATCGTTGGACATTATTTCCTAGATCTAATCCACTAAGATGGTACTTAAGTCGTGTTTTCGTCACTCTTCATTACCCGACCACAATATTTGCAAATTGTGCCATGTTTGTTTCCGTCTATTGGGTCTCTAGTTCCCAAGCTGGATCACGTTTAGTAACTCCACTAGACATCTTAAACGTACCTATATTTATTTTTCATGGAAATTAGGCAATTATTTTTTGGCCAAAAAATATAGTAGTGACGGCGGCTATATAAGAGAACCTAAATAATAAAGTTATTCTACAGAAGAATTAAATAGGAAGTAAAGAAAATGATTGTAAGAATTTAAGTAATTATAAAAATAATATGGAATAATAAAACCTAATATTAATGAATAATAATCCAATTTGATAATAAAATAATAAATAACATTAAACATATTAAAATTATCCTAGGGAATAATTATACAACATTAATTAATTACTTCAAAAAATTAACATGCAAGTATTATTTGGTTCTTTGATCACATGCATGGGTCCACACAAATTTTGTTGTTGTTGTATAAATTACAATAATATAAATATAAGTTTGTAAACTTACCTTAAATATGGAACCCTTTGTGTAAAGGTGTTGACCTTAAAAACTACCTAGCCTACGTGGCGCACAGGCCGAGTAATCTATGAGCTAACTACGTCCTTTGGTTGAATGCGGGGCGTGCCAACTCGTCGACTGAGCTCGGCCGAGGAGTAAAATATGTTGATGTTGCATTGAATGCGCGGTTGACTTCTGTGTCTTGCGATTGTGACCGAGGAAGGAACACGTCTCAGCCTCTTGGGTTCTCGAACCTGAAGACAAGGCTACTATTCTTACAAAGTTCACAAATCGTTGTTGTTGGATTCGGTCACAGTGATGGTATTCATCAGAGTAAACTCACGCCAAATCGACACCAAAGTGTAAGGGCATAAATACTCAAAGCAGATATAAGTCTTAACAGTAAACGTGGTTCATCCGTAGAAATGCCGAACTTTAAATCCCACTTGAGAGTATCCAATCATAAAGTAACTCAGCGTGCAATGTGTCGAGCCCAATAAACTGTAACACCTCACTTCGCCGAGAAGGCTGATGAGATGACCTCGACCAATAAGGATTCGGAAATCCTTCTTGACCAAGACTTGGATAGATAACCAGTCGCCCTCGACGCAGTGCTGTCTATGCCGACTGAAGATGCTGTGAGATGGGCTGATTCTACGGCGACAGTGTTGTTTATGGCAACTGAAGATATCACCGGTTGCCTTCACAGTGCTGTTTATCCAAACTGAAGGTGTGTCGGTAAAAAGAAAAAAGAAAAATCTCAAGGTTGTTGAGAGAATTTGCGCAAGGCAGTTGTGTGTTGAATTGGAGGGGCTTGTTTCGATGTCTTCCCTCCCTATTTATAGCAGCTAACTTGTATTGAATCATAATCACTCTTGGATTAAAACTCCTTCTCATTATCCAATTTCATTTCGGCCAATCCTATTCCTACTAGGACTCCGAACATAACTCGTTATCAGACCGTATTCAATCTCAGCATCCTGATCCCGTCGAGACTCTCTCTCACAACAGGATTCGTCCACATTCCACTTTCCGATAAGATATGGCCAATTCCGACCGTACAGCCCATGGGCTAAATATCTCCCATTGACACCTGTACACGATTTTTGGGTCGAGAAAGGATTTAAACCCAGCCTATCCAACACTGGGCCAAGTTAGCTCTAACTCGGCCCAAACAATATTTTTAGGTCCAAAAATTTTCCCTTCACTTCTGAGGTCGTCGACCTATATTCCTTGGTTTGAGCCTCGACCTTGAAGAAGTGAAACCGGTTCTTGGGAACTGCCACCACGCGCATTTATGAGACGTGATCCCACAATCTTGATTTCCAAACCATCATGCCGCATGTCAACCCCCTGGTTACCCTAGCAGCTTTTAATCATGATTCTTGAAACCATGCGACCGTCGAAACGTCTCTCTTGCATTAAAACTGCAGTTACACGCCATCATGCGTCCTTAATCCATGAAAACCTCGATCCTCTCGCCTTGATTTTCTGAACCTATACAATGATTACTATCTTTCCTGCTCGATCTTACCCTTGATTTTGAAAGTCAACTGTTTAGCCTTCCGTTCCAAATGCTTATAAATACCTAGACTTTTTCCATTCATACCTTATGCTCTCTTAAACCTTTGAAATTTTCTTACCGTTCTGTTTTCTTCTAGAAAAAACTTCAAAAACAAGGATTCTGACACTTTCATCTCAGAAATTTCTAACCTTTCCTCAATGGCCTCCTTTGTATCACAACTCTCTTCTGAGTGCGACCAGTGCAAGGATTTCATCGATCAGCACACTATCAAAACTCTGCGTTTCGAAGGTGAATCCAACACTACTTACTAAGTTTTGGACCTACTCTTCAAGGATACAGTGCCATCATCCATCACCAACCTGTTCAAAAAATATTGTTTAACATGTTTGTTGCAAGGATTCGATTGGTCGAAGTGGTGCCAAACAAAACCCCAAGGATCCTGGCCTTCACCTAATGCAAACTAGGTGGCATGGGTCGTTTGAATGGAAAGGTTCTTCGGTAAAGAGTGGAAAACTCTTGGTATTTACGACGCTATCAATTTTTTGACTATGGAGATTACAATGGATAAAAGCTCCTCATGGCAGCTCTTAGCCTCTGGTGCTCGGCCACCAACACCTTGGTCATTCCATTTGGTCATATGACTCCTACCATCTTCGACATCTCGGCTATCATTAGGACTTCTCCTTCTGGCATCTCGGTCGACGCTACCCTTATTGGATGCCCTTCTAACCTTGACCTCAAGGCGTTGTTCGACGATCGAGCCGTCGAGACGTTGAGCCAGGAAGGTCAAGAGCCTTCAAAAGTCGATGTTCAGAAATTGCACAAGAATTTTCTGAACTACAACACCCTTATCCTCCATTTTGCTGGTCGAGGAGAAGCGAGCCTTCGGAAGGGGGAACACGAGGCCTTCCTGTTCTACTGGTATAACAAATTCATTTGTTGTTCCAAGTCAAATAAATGCTTAGTTGAGAACATGCTGGTAGCGGAACCCTGGCTAATGGCCATTCTTTAGCGCTCAGCCCCACCATCTTCACCAACCTTCTTCATTGCTTGGCCTAGACGACCCTCAACAAGATCGACCCGCACCAGAATGGACCTCTCTGGGTGTTTCAACTTTGGTTGCAGGTTTATTTCTTGACACTTCGGCTAGAAGTCTCCAACCTCCAGTCTACTATAACGCTCAGCCTTCAATTGGCCTCTCGACCAGTGCCCCCTCATCGAGCTGAAAAAGTGTTCAAACACCTATTCGGCCTGGATGTCATTTCTGATGATGAATTTTTGATATATCGTCGTCAAGAATATCCTTGCTCCACCAGGCTTCCCTCATCGACTTGGAGTGACAGTGAGGATACTATTTTTCGTCAAAACTAGGGGTCGTTCGTGTTAACTCATGACCTTCCCCTTGGTTGTGATGCTCATCGGGCGAGTTGGGAAGTCTGTCACCCCCACTTTACCGCCTGACAGCTCGGTTACCTCCAAGGTTGCCCATTGCCTTTACTTTCTTCTCGCTCCTTTCTGACCCGATTGCGCGTCTCTTGTTCTTCAGAAAGGGAGTGTAGAGACGCCGAGAAAGAATTTCAAGAACAATGTATGAAATTTCATCTTTGACCAAATTCTCCTGAATCTCTCGGCACTGATATCTTTGGTGACTGGTGGGAGGAATATACGCACGACTTTTTTGGCATTTCGGTTGAAGAAGTAGTCAACAAATTTTTTGGTGACCGGCCCAAGAAACCCTCTGCCCCTCAATCTAAAGAAGCGCCCCAAGGTATACCACTGTTTCTACCTTTTTTTTAGACATTTGGGTAATTCTATTAACGGGACTTCGCTTTCTTAGGTGGTCGAGTACTAAAACAGACAGATGTGGTTGCCGCCCGATAGTGGTCAAGAAAAAATTGGCCTCTTCCTCCAAGACGACCAAAGCCACCACTCAAAACCTACCGAGCAAACGACATCACCTGGTCACCGAGACGACAGGTGAAACTCTTCGTCCTTATAAACGCGTCAAGAAATTGGTGAATAAGGGAACTCGGGAGATTCATGTTTTCTCCAGCCACACCACTGGGACCACCACCCCGAATGCCTCTCCTCCTGCTTCCGTTGCTCAAACTTCGGCAGATAATCGGCCTTCTCTGGCTGACCTGGCCACCCAAGCTCAACCAACACCTGAGGTCCCTGGGGTAGTGGTTGAGCTGGTTGCTGCACCCTCGGTTGACTTGCCTGCAGCTCCAGGGTCAACAGGAGTACCCGTTCTGGGGGAAACGACTCATTCAATTATAAAGGATCTCTCCAAGAATCCGAAGCATTTGGTTGTTATCTTAGAAAAGGTATGATTACGCTGTCAACTCTTTTTGCTTATTAAATATTAAACAATTATTAACACTTATGTTTTAGGATGATGGGAGTGACGAGACTCCGCTGGCGAGTCGCTCTCGACCAATCTAGGCTTCTTCCGTTGATCCTCCCCCCGTGGTTGAGGCGGCCGATCAGGTTAATCCTCCAACGGTCGATCATGGAAAGAAGCCTATGGTCGAGCCTGAAGCGACGTCAGAAACTCCACTTCACCCTCAGGACCAAGACCTCGGCATCCCTCATCAAAAAGTGACCTCGACTTTTGTAAGGCTCGATTACTTTCTATTGTCAATTTGTTAAAACATGTCTGAACCGAGAAAATATTAAATGTCAGGTGCCCAGTTATTCATTTCTCTGAAAATTTTATACGCCGAAAGGTGTTATCTATATTTCCTGGCCACCTTAGTGGCCATCGAACATAAATAACCTTCATCGGCCGCGTGAATTAAGAAGAAGTCTAAAACATTGGGCTTGGCCATTAAGTTCTTTAGGTTTGAGCAATGAACTCGAAGACATGGCCGAAGTCACCTCTCGGCAGGTTTAAAACAAAAACCTTCTTGCTATATTCTTTTGTGATTTTCCTCGCGCTTAAACTGTTTTCATGTGTAGCCTTCATGGGAAGTCGAGTTTGATGCTTTTCTTTTAAGCACTTCTGGAGCAGCTGGTCCTTTGGCAGCTATGACTGAACCTGCCGAATCATCTGTTCTTGTTCGGTTGCAAGAAGTTTTGTCCCTCTCAGCTTCACAAGTCTTCAAGTGCAAAGGTCTTGATTTGTTTGGTGCATGCCTAAATGACCTCGGAAGTGATGATCAATTGAGCACCGAAGCTATCATTCAGGCGTCGTCTACCTTGGAGCGAGTTAAGGAATCCTTCAGTACTTTCGAGAACGCTCTTCAGGCCGATGATGACTTGATGAAGATGCTCTTCGTCCGAAGATCGATACTTTAAAGGTGAAAAAGGAGGCCCTGGCCGACCTCGACCGTCAAATGGCCAAACTGGCAAACCGAATGTCGGCCATTGCTTCTGATCTTACGAGTGACTTTGAGTCGGGTGGTAAATCTTGTTTAATCGAATACACGACGAACGTGAAGAGAGTCGAGCAGCTGAAGATGGACAGGAAGAACCAGTAAGCCGAGGTCATAATGGGCGAGCTGAGGTGGTTGGAGCTGAAGGCCCTTCTTGGAACTCTTCTTCCTTCATCACCCTAGAATTGTTTGACTGTAAACTGACTTATCAATGAAATGAAACAAGCTTTTATTCTTGCATCTCCCATTTGACTGGGTAGTATTTTTTTAAGAACTTTCCATTGATTGGCAACTTGTGAATAATAACGATTCGATCTTTAAGATGATATGCCCTCTTGCCAAGGACCTTATGGACAATGAACGGTCCTTCCCAATTCGGCTACCATTTACCGAACCTGGGGTCTTTAATTCCCACGGGTAGCACCGTTTGCCAAACTAACTCTCCATCACCGAACGTTTTTTATTTGACTCTTTGATTATACACTCGCTTGGCAATTTTCTTTTGTGCCACTAGAAGATTGTAAGTGTTAAGCTGATCTGTTTCCAAATCTTCTAACTCTTGTAACATGGCTTGGTTGTATTTTGCATTGGACAAACTACTCTGTTCAATCACGCGTAAAGAAGTTACACTTAGCTCGATTGGTAACATCGCGTCATGTCCATAGGTTAATGCATATGGGGTGGTCCCCGTTGCTGACCGGGGTGAAGTCCGGTATGCCTACAAGGCTTCATTCAATTTTAAATGCCACATGCCAGGTCTTTCTTTTATTATTTTTTCGAGAATGCCGATCAAAACCTTATTACTTGCTTTAGTTTGTCCATTCGTTTGTAGATAGTATGGTGTGGACTGCTCAAGCTGAATTTTTAAGCTCGCCGTATACTCTTTGAACCTTTCGGCTATGAAGATTATGCCATTATCAATTATGATCGTTCTTGGTATGCCGAATCTGGTCACAATATGCTCCTCCACAAAATCATAAACCTCATTGGATGTTAATTCGGCGTATGATTTTGCTTCAACCTATTTAGTGAAATAATTAGTTGCCACGAGTATCCATGCATGTTTCGCTGCTCCAGAAGATGGCATAATTTTGCCGATCATGTCTATTTCCCATCCTTTGAACGGCCAAAGTTGGTGACCGAATGAAGTAATTTGGCTGGGGCTCTTTGGATGGGTCCATGAATTTGACACTGGACGCATCCTTGTGCATATTCAATACAATCTTTCAATATGCTTGCCCATAAGTAACCGTGCCAGCGAAGTAGCCAACGCATCTTACGTCCTGATTAATGGGCTCCACAAATTCCTTCGTGCACCTCTATGATTGCTTGTACGGTTTCTTGCGGGCCGAGGCATAACAGTAATAAATAGTCCTCGCCTTTTCGACACAACTCATTCTGGTACGAGACGTAGTTTGTGGCATGGACCCTTGTCTTTCGGTCGTGTTTGCCTCTGGGATTATCAAGGTATTGCATAATTGGCTTTCTTCAGTCATTTGTTAGTGTCTCGACCGCAAATATCTACAGGATCCTACCGTTCCAACAATGAAGGTAAGGACATTACTTGTGCACAGATGACTTGGTCGCGCTGGAGGACTTGTTGATTAACCAAAGCCAGATACAATTGCCGTAAAACGGGTATCATTCGGCCAAACTTGCCCCCCAGGAGTTGCGCTCTGGAAGCTATTTGAGTGAGTTCGTCTGCGACGGTGTTCCAAACATGGGAAATATGATTGAACGTGATACCGTCGATTGACTCGGCCAAGTAACTGGCAACCATGTGATAAGGCGCCAGAGTGCACCTCATGCATCGAAAAGTTCCATTGAGTTTGTTAATCACAAGCTCCAAATCACCAAAGACGAGGACCCGAGCAGCATGCAAATCATGAAGGACGCTAAGGCCGATAACAAGGGCTTCGTATTCGGCCTGATTGTTGATACAATCGAAATCCAACTTGAGGGAAAAGAACCAACGGTGTTGATGTGGAAACTGAAGTACGATCCCTACGCCGGCCAATGTCGACGTACTTGAACCATCGAAATACATCGTCCAATAATTATCACGTGTTCCCACCATGCTGATTTCAACGTCGTTGCCCCCGAACCTATATGGAGAGGGGTGGTGGGCTAAGAAATTAGCAAGCGCTTGTCATTCGACGGCTTTTTGTGGGACGTACTGCAAACTAAACTCAGATAGTGCGAGTGTCCATTTCTCGATTCGGCCTTTAACTATTGGCCGAGTAAGCATATATCGAATGACATATATCTGGGCGATGACCTGAGTAACGGATGGGAGCATATAGTGTCGGAGTTTTGATACGGCAAAGAACAAAGCCAAGTAAAGCTTCTTGACGGGTGAATAATTGATCTCTGGAGGATTGAGGTTTTGGCTGAGATAGAAAATAGATTGTTCTCGCCCAGCATCAATATCTTATGCGATGAGGCAACCGATGGATTCTTTGGCCGCTGAAATGTAAAGCTTAAGGGGTTTATCACGTCGAGGCGGTACGAGGACGGGTGGAGTTGCAAAAGTAACCTTGATTTACGTGAAAGCCGCTTGATGTTCTTCACGCCACTCAAACTTATCTGAGTCCTTAAGTTTCAAAAGTGTAGATGATGCGAAAATTAACTTAACACACAAATTAAACCCTCTTGTGACAATTGTAGTATATGTATAAGTAGGGATTGTTCTAAACCGAGGATTAGGAAGGCTTGCTAAAACACTTGAAACTGAGTAAAAACGTAAAACTAAGTTTAAAACGCTAACCTAGACTCAAAGAATGCAAAACTAAACTCTAAAACACTAAGACAACTCAAAAGACTCAAAACAGCACAAAACAAGCTGAAAGACTCAAATCTGCCAGTAAGAGTAAATTTGAACGAAAATAGGTTTTGACTTCGTTCAAAACACTTAAAAACACAAACTAAATCAGTTTCTAACTAATATGACTCAACAAAGTAAAAGGGGGGGGTTTGGTTTTGGTGAATTTGAAAACAAAACAAACAGATTGTAAACTAAGCAAAATTTGGACGAATTTAGGGTAAAACTATAGATGATAGGCTAGCTACGAGGTTCTTCTCCACCCTTGACACACTTGCAAACAAAATGATTTCCAGTTGCTTTTCAATACCCATGAATCCTCAACACCCCAGATTAATTGTGAATTGCACTAATTAACCCTCAGATTTTCCTAATTTCATTGAATTGGATGATTGCATACAACAACCCAAAGCATTCTTCACAAGTTCCCTACATGAATTGCATAATAAAGATATGAGCAAAGATGATTAAGTTCTATGAAAATCATAAGCATTGACGAGGCACTTGTAACTATGAATTGCATGAAGCTTATGCCAAGAATTTACTTAACACGATTGTGACAAGCAACCTTCACTACTTGTGAATATAAATTCATAATGATTAGGTGAAACTCCCTTATATCCTAGCATCAGATTTTTGCATGAAAATTAAGCGTGCACTCTCAACCAACACACATAAATCAGTTTTAATTCAAACGGATAAGTAAATAGAATTCACAACTTATGAATCATAACTAGATGTAATCAAATCATATTGCAAGTATGAACATGGTTTCGAATTCCCCCTAACTAGAGGGGTTTAGTTCCTCATACTCACAAAACAAAGATTATTGAATTGAAACATTGAAAACAAAAGAAAGATTACACCTAAAACGTTCCAGCTATCCTAGCTCGAATGGCAAGCACGTCCAAGGGCTCTCCTTCTTCCTTCTTGCTACGGCACAAGGTTTGATGGTGAGTTTTGGGGGTTATGGATGGTGTAGAAGGATGAGTTTATGGTTAGGATAGATGTATGGTGCGGCAAGGGTTTATTAAGGTCATAAATTATGGAGAATGGTGAAGGATGGATGCGGCAGAGAGTGAGAGATGATTTCTGGCGTGAATGGGTGAATGAATGGATCCCTTTGGGCTGTAAAAAGGAAGTTTATTTAAGGTTTTCAGGAATTCAAACCGTAACTTATTTTGGTTAACAAAAATTAAGTCAAAGGCTCTAGAAAAAGGAAATAAAATCAGAAAACTAAGGGAAATAGGCTAAGATATGCTGCAAGAACATAAAACACAATAGGAATGTGTTTTAATGCAAGGAAATAGGAAAAAACACTCTCCCTTGCACAGCAAGAAATTAGGAGGGTGCAGCATGTGATTTAGGGAAGGATAAATGTCCTAAAACTGAAGGGAAAGAGGTTCTCCTGCACGGCAAGGGAAATGGAAAATGGGAAGATTGCGGTAAGGCCTTGGATTGTGCAAGGAAGATGTATTTTGTGTCCTAGAATGCTTAGGAGGCCTTCAATGTTGCTGGAATTTAGAGACATTTAGGATTAGGAAAGGTCAAACCAAAATAGGAAACCTTGGCTTAACTTTCCTACTTCAAGTAGGAATCCTCATTTAAGTAGGAATCCTTATTCTTCTAGGAATCCTTATTCGACTAGGAATCCTTCTTCAATTTTGTCCATTCCTTTTGCCCCAAGCATGTGATAACTATTCCAAGCCTAATTTTGCTCCAAAAAGCTCCAAAATGCACCTTCTTGCATACTTTGTCCTTAGAATCTGAAAACACACGAAAATGGCTTAAAAGACTAAAATAACTAAGGAATAACAAACTAAATGCACAAGAACAAGCCATCTAAGACTCCTAAATATGCTCTTATCAGTAGAGAATGCCGTCATTTTGCCTGCAGAATTAGCTATGAAACGGCGAAGAAAATTGATTTTCCTGAGCAAGGACTGGAGTTGTTTTTTGGTCGTCGGGGGTAGGGTGTCAATAATTGCACGAGCTTTGTTCACGTCTACCTCGATTCTGCGATGATAGACAAGAAAACTAAAGAAATTACCGGCCGACACACCAAATGTGCATTTGGCCGGGTTCATCTTACGGTTATGTTAACGCATGCGAAGGAAAGCTTGCCGAAGATCATCAATATGCGTTCGGTGATTTTATGATTTGACCACGACGTCATCAATATACACTTCTATGGTTGTGCCAATCAAGTCATGAAAAATGGTGTTCATCGCGCGTTGATACGTGCCACCAACATTTTTGAGACCAAATGGCATGACTACCCACTCATAGGTTCCAAGTGCCCCCGGGCAGCAGAAATCAGTTTTATGAACATCGGCCTTGGCAATAAATATCTGGTTATAACCGGCATGTCAATCCATGAATGACAACATGTCATGGTTAGTCACGGCGTCGATTACCAAATCTGAAATTGGCATGGGATATGCATTCTTGGGTGTTGCCAGA